TCGATTATGAAAAACTACAATCATTACAAATGACTATTTCTACAATAGTTGATAATCTTATAACACAAATTGATTCTAATATAAATATTCATTCAAATACATCTAAAGAACAAGAATTATTAAATAAAGAAAAACAAAATGATTTTAAAATAACCAAACGTACATTACGTTCACATGCACGAGAAAAAATAAATTCATTAATAAAATATCAAAGTTCAAATGATAATCGACGTGTATCAAATCGAAGACGAATTTCAGAAAAAAATTCATCTTTTGATATAAATGAAAAATTACCAAGAAAAAAAACTATATCTGAACGTTCATATGATCAAACAATTGAACATAATCACAGTAAGATATTGTTGTTTTCTAGAATAATAATTATTCTTAAACAATTAAATAGATCGTACTATAATAAATGGAGATACACATCTAAATAGTAATGATGGAAATTCTTCAAATAAAATAACAATAAATATTAAACAAATACATAGTCATTCAGATATTGATTCTTTACCACCAAATAAACGTCGATTACGTGAACGAAATTCTGCAATATTAAATTCTACAGATACATCTACAACAATAAATTCTTCTTCAACAGAAGAAAATATTCCATTAGAATCAACAACACGAAATATACCAATAAATTGTATTAAAAAATTTCTTGCAATTCGTCAACAGGTTTGATTATATTTATTATTTATTTAAGATAGATATAAAATCTTATGAAAATAACTTTGTTAAGTTTCTTGTCTTTTTTTTTTCTATTAAATACGCGCTTGTTTTCCTTTTCATTCAGAATAAAAAAAAAAAAAAATCAGACAAAACATCACAAATTCCATACACATCAACATATATAAAAGTAAAAAAGAAAACATTTTTTTTGTAAGATCCGGACTCGAAGCAATTCATACTAGCAAAAAGGAATCTAATTGTTAAAACTCTTCGACGTAGATATTCAACAAACAACAGACAAAAATAGTTCATTTAACAATCTAGAATTCTGTGTAGCCAATCATTCTATATATTTAATTCTTTTTTTCTTTCTTTGGAAGAGCATATCAGGATGTAAGACATGTCAAGACTTGTTTTTTAAACTCTTACTGTTTCAAGGTAGACAAGAAATGAAAAGTTCCGTTCCTCGAGAAACTTTCAAATAATGACGTTCTTAGCATAAGATTATTCTTATATATAAAAGTAACAAAACTTTATTTAAAGACAAATAACTTTGACATACTCTACATATAGCCACATACACAGCATTCTACATTATATAAGTCTAAATGACACAATGAATATTCTAGAAAGAATTTGCACTCTTGACTTATGACTGTCGAAGCACTTTCTTCTCCTTCAAAAACATTAGGAAAATTAATTTTCGAATTTCCACTTGAAATTTTCTACAAAGATAAATTTTTAACGAGAATAGTTTTTTATGAAAGTTTCAGATCTTTTTGATGTTTCTATCAGCTATGGTAAAAGCATGTTTGTTTCACCTTTAGACTTATATAATGTACGTAGATTCAATTAAAAAGCAATTTATCAGTTGACAAACTTCTATGATCATATCTTTATATGATCGTCAACAGGAGCTACCTCTTGTTTCACATTTTAATTTCACAACGATTTCTTGTTTTTCAAGTTGAATTTTTGTTTAAATAGATTGAAAAACGACATGAAACAATGCTTCATGAATTTGTTCAACCTAAAGTTCCGAAAGATTTTGCTGAAACATTAATGGCAAAAACAAATTATTTAATAGCTCCACCATATAAATCTTTTTCAACAACAACACCAGCATCACTTGGTATTAAACGTCTTAATCCACCATTGGATCTTGATTCACATTTATCGGATGTATTTTGTCGACAAGAAGATGAAAGATATAGAATGAAATTAAGACATCAAGTTGAACGAGTAAAAACAAAGAATACAAAAAAAAAATAAAATAAATTTTTTTCTTTTCTTTTTAATCAAGGATAAATTAATTTTATCACATGAACAAGAAGTTTTACGTTTATATGGCAATGCTACACGTTTATCAATACATCAAGATATACCATTAAGTTATTGTTCATTACTTAAAGATAATGAAGTTTATAATAATCCAATAATACAAGAACGTACATCAGCATTTATTAATAATGACTATACAAATATTGAATTAGGTAAACGTGGTAAAAATCGTTGGAATGGACGTTCATTTATTAAATGGCTTGAAGATTCAAATCTTAAATATAAACGACTTAGTGTAAATTTCTTGAAAAAAAAAATAAATAATTTTTTTTTTCTTGTTCTTATTATTGTATATCTTTTTTTCTTTCAGTGTGAAATCAATCAAAGACAAGATCTTGAAGCTAATACACTTTATTCTATGCAACGTATGGTTTGGATAAAACATTTACCAAAAGAAACATCATCATCAGGACGAATACATTCTCTTCTATCTGAACGTTATTTACCTAAAGTTGAAATTAATACTAACTTTTGGACAGAATGTGAAATAAATCCAATCTAGTTTCTTTCGTATTTATCTATGAAAATTTATTGTTTGTTATATTTCGTCTGTAATTTGTATATAAATCAAAATGCTCGTTTTTTTTTCGATGTTGTGTTTTTATGTGAAATTAAGAAATATATTCTCGATATTAAATGTATTGATTTT